AAATATTAATATAAGATTAATAGGAAATTGAAAAGATTGACGTAATATTTTTAAACACCTTTGTTATCTAGTAAACTTTTAAAATTATTAAACATTTTCTCTTATTAACTCCTATTCAATATTACTCATACGTTCTGTATGCCGAAATTTTTAAACTTCAATAAATGTTTTAACTTTTGCCCAATATCCATGAAATTGAACATATATTTGTGGCAAATAAATACATAAATATTTATATTATTTTTATTGACCACCACTAAATAAATCCCTTGGAACTGGGTTACACTTTCATACCAAATGAAATGTATTAGATTTTTGTTTATTATTATAATTAGATTGATTTATGGTCAGTAATATATTAGATAACTTGTATTTATATAAGCATTTATAAACCATAGCAAAAACTTTTTTTCTAGGCCAATGATTATGAGCGAAAAATAAACTAAATATAAAACAAGTTTGTAATGAAATATTTTGGTTATAAAATAAATATTTATGTTTATTGAAAAAGTGGTTAAATAAAGTATAATTTTAGGTAAATAAAACTAATGGATAAAGCTTTTAATATTATTAAAAATATTTTGTTTAAATAGTAATATAATTATGGAGCAAATATTTGTTTTTATGTAAAATAATTATATATTTTCTAAAACAAAAATAATTAAAAATAATAATAAAAATTGTTTATTTAAACACCAATAATATAGTCTTCCAGAACCTTAAATTTCTTTAAAATCATTTGAATAACGAATGTTTTATTAAACTTTATAAAATTTGGACATACTATACGTATGAGTGTTATTAATTAGAAGTTAGTGCAAGAAAATCTTTAATAATTTCTATAATTTAAAACTTAAAAGCAAAAACTAAAATGGTAATTAAAGCCTAGACTTTAGGCTTTTAAAAAAACCATATAAAATTAAAGCCTAACTACTTAAATGTAGAAATTTTCAGCTCTAACCTGAAAATAAGTTTCATATATTTTTAAAACATTTTATATTTATTGCTTTTAAATCTCTTCAGTTTTTCAAAATTTTAAATTTATAGCACTGGAATTTAATATTATAACTAATAGTGCAAACTATTGCAAACACCTCCTCCCCTTTTTTTACTTATTTTATTATTTTTTCCAACATGTTTTATTATTATTTTAAATTAACCTTCATAAACATATGTTTCGAGAATATATTGCATGCCAACTGTTATAAAAGAAGACATGCATGTATTATGCAGCTAAAATCTAGTTATTTTTTTGTTAAAAAAAAATATATATTAAAATAAAACAAAATTCCGCAACCAATTAGTTGAACATGCACATGACCTCTACGTGTGGTATTATTTTAATATTGAACTAAAACTAATAAAAAAATATAATAAAAATATTAAATTTTTACAAAAACACATTTTAAACAAATTTGTATGAGTTTTTATTAGAATAAAATTGTAAAAAAACCAGCACTTTTGATAAAGGTTATATAAAGGATTTATGCCCTGAATTCTTGTTAAACAAATCACTTTTACAAAATTCAAATACCTTAATTTATTCACAACTTATTGCTATTTTTATAATATTTACTCTAATTAATAATAATCATACGCACCCTGGTCCAAAATAAGAAAGTTTTAGAAATCACCGAAATTTATATAAAATTTACCTAAACTGGAGCTGTTTCTTTAAACAATCACAATCTGTTTAGAAAAAACTTTAAAACAGTTTAATTTCCAACTTCCATTGCCTCTGTGTTTTTAAATATTTTACAACGTAAATTGCTTTAAATGTTACCATTTTTGTATTAGTATATATTTAAATATTACCTATTTACCAAAATATGTCACGTTTCTTTAAGACAAGAAAAAAATATTTTTGTTACATTATTATAACACGTTGTTTGTTTAAACTTTTGTTACTGCTTAATTTCGAAAACCATTTTTGTCTGTTCGAATGAATACTATTGTTTTACGTTCCTTTTTATAATTTAAGCAAATATTTAGTGGTATTACCCTTAACCAAAAAATTTTCAAAATTGATTATGAAAAAACACTAAAAAAGGCAACAGTATTTACAGCGTGCCAAAATTTCGCTAAAAATTAAAATAATTTTTACGATTTTTTGTATAAATTCCATTAAACTTTTGTGTATAAAGAGTTAAAGCAATTTATTGCTTATAACAAGAACAGCTTTCAATTGAGATTTGAAATATTTTCAACCTAAAATCTTTTAATAATAAATTGAAATCAGTGAAAAGCCTCTAACAAATCTTATAAATCTAATAACATAGTTGTATGAAAATGCTTAAAAGTTTTACAATTAAAAATATAAGGGGAAGGTTGAATATGTTACAGTGAACCAGAATTGAACTGAACTAGAACAGAACTAGAACAGAACTAGAACAGAATTAGCACAGAACTAGAACAGAACTAGAACAGAACTAGAACAGAACTAGAACAGAACTAGAACAGAACTAGCACAGAACTAGTACAGAACTAGTACAGAACTAGAACAGAACTAGAACAGAACTAGAATAGAACAGAACTAGAATAGAACAGAACTAGAACAGAACTAGAACTAGAACAGAACTAGAACAGAACTAGAACAGAACTAGAACAGAACTAGAACAAAACTAGAACAGAACTTGAACAGAACTAGAACAGAACTAGAACAGAACTAGAACAGAACTAGAACAGAACTAGAACAGAACTAGAACAGAACTAGAACAGAACTAGAACAGAACTAGAACAGAACTAGAACAGAACTAGAACAGAACTAGAACAGAACTAGAACAGAACTAGAACAGAACTAGAACAGAACTAGAACAGAACTAGAACAGAACTAGAACAGAACTAGAACAGAACTAGAACAGAACTAGAACAGAACTAGAACAGAACTAGAAAAGAACTAGAACAGAACTAGAACAGAACTAGAACAGAACTAGAACTAGAACAGAACTAGAACTAGAACAGAACTAGAACAGAACTAGAACAGAACTAGAACAGAACTAGAACAGAACTAGAACAGAACTAGAACAGAACTAGAACAGAACTAGAACAGAACTAGAACAGAACTAGAACAGAACTAGAACAGAACTAGAACAGAACTAGAACAGAACTAGAACAGAACAGAACTAGAACAGAACTAGAACAGAACTAGAACAGAACTAGAACAGAACTAGAACAGAACTAGAACAGAACTAGAACAGAACTAGAACAGAACTAGAACAGAACTAGAACAGAACTAGAACAGAACTAGAACAGAACTAGAACAGAACTAGAACAGAACTAGAACAGAACTAGAACAAACTAGAACAGAACTAGAACAGAACTAGAACAGAACTAGAACAGAACTAGAACAGAACTAGAACAGAACTAGAACAGAACTAGAACAGAACTAGAACAGAACTAGAACAGAACTAGAACAGAACTAGAACAGAACTAGAAACAGAACTAGAACAGAACTGGAACAGAACTCGAACAGAACTAGAACAGAACTAAACAGAACTAGAACAGAACTAGAACAAACTAGAACAGAACTAGAACAGAACAGAACTAGAACAGAACTAGAACAGAACTAGACAGAACAGAACTAGAACAGAACTAGAACAGAACTAGAACAGAACTAGATCAGAACTAGATCAGAACTAGAACAGAACTAGAACAGAACTAGAACAGAACTAGAACAGAACTAGAACAGAACTAGAACAGAACTAGAACAGAACTAGAACAGAACTAGAACAGAACTAGAACAGAACTAGAACAGAACTAGAACAGAACTAGAACAGAACTAGAACAGACTAGAACAGAACTAGAACAGAACTAGAAAAGACTAGAACAGAACTAGAACAGAACTAGAACAGAACTAGAACAGTAGAACAGAACTAGAACAGAACTAGAACAGAACTAGAACAGAACTAGAACAGAACTAGAACAGAACTAGAACAGAACTAGAACAGAACTAGAACTGAACTAGAACTGAACTAAAACTGAACTAGAATTAAACTTATACATAATGCACATAATTATATTTAGGTAACCTTCCCTTAGATATTGAATTCACCAAAAATAACTTAATGCGAAAATCTATGGTTTTTTGACAATAGGCTTTTGACTTTTCATGAAAGCAATGTAAGCAATGTTTTCAAACAAAAAACTAAGCCTATAAAATAAGCAAGAGTGTAAGTTTTCTATGTAAGTTTTTCCATCTTAATGGGGGGCCACGTATACTAAAGAAACTTTTCCTTTAATATATGACACATATTGTGTGTAGAAAACTTTTCGTGAAGATTTATTAAATCAGATAATAGTTTAAAACAATAAAAATGGGGGGGGATACTTTTATATGAGTTTTTGTTTTCTTTCGCTAGCTGTAAATGAATTGAATTAAAGTGTGAAGAGATTGTAATAGAAAACTAAGAGATTTTGAATAGAGTTATTAGCATGAGGTATAATGTATATAAAAGCTTAAGGCGTAGAGGAATTTGGTTGGGATTGTGCTTTCAAAATAAATCTCAAAATTATACATATTAATGTGAAAATGAAATGGGAGCGTATGATTAATATTAATTTTTGAAATAATAATAAAGTTAAATAATTCTAGATTAAAATAATTAGAAATTTGACACTTAATTATAGGTGATTTATTTATAATATTACAAACTGCATTAAATAAATTATTATTGATTTTTAAATAGACAATAGAAATTTTTAACCAACATATAATTGTAGGCAAACAAAAACAAAATGTTTAAATAATTTAAACACAATATTACAAAGTGTTGTATTAATTATAAAAATACCTCAGTTATAAACCACAATTTTGTGTAATTAATTATGAATGAAGTAAATTATTCTAAAGAAATATGAAACCAAAATATTTGATTAATTGCAGCAACATATATCTGTTATATCTAATTGATATAAATATGCATTAAAGTTTAAAATGATTTCACCTTTATTCAAAATTTTTCCAATATTTTCTTTGTGGCCCTTACTACTCCCTCACTTACGTCCGTTAATTTAAATTGAACTAAAATTATAACGTAAGTTAATATAAGCAATGATGCCTGGAATAAAAAAAAAATTAAATTTACAAAACATCTCTCAAATTCTATTGATCTTCCCCCTTACCTTTCCATAAAACATAAGATCGATATTCATATAACCACTACAGGAAAATTGAATGGGTTGATGCATCAACTGCTGTGAATATTCTTTAATGACCATAATCATTTGTTTATCATGAGGATATAGTTTGAAGTTAAGTAAAATGTGGGAAAATTTCTTATACTGAAATAAAATATTTATATAGAATTAAAGAGATAAAGTTCAATATGTATAATAACCTGGTTTATGCATTTTTGTGTTAAATAGCATAATAATAACATGTTTAATAAAACCAAAGTGACATAAGCCAATCGAACTAAAAGGAGAAGAAAATTAGTTAAATTTTGTTCTAGTTTTGTGTTAGTTCTGTTCTAGTTCAGTTCTAGCTCTGTTTTAGTTCTGTTCTAGTCCTGTTCTAGTTCTGTTCTAGTTCTGTTCTAGTTTTGTTCTAGTTCTGTTCTAGTTCTGTTCTAGTTCTGTTCTAGTTCTGTTCTAGTTCTGTTCTAGTTCTGTTCTAGTTCTGTTCTAGTTCTGTTGTAGTTCTGTTGTAGTTCTGTTCTAGTTCTGTTGTAGTTCTGTTCTAGTTCTGTTCTAGTTCTGTTCTAGTTCTGTTCTAGTTCTGTTCTAGTTCTGTTCTAGTTCTGTTCTAGTTCTGTTCTAGTTCTGTTCTAGTTCTGTTCTAGTTCTGTTCTAGTTCTGTTCTAGTTCTGTTCTAGTTCTGTTCTAGTTCTGTTCTGTTCTAGTTCTGTTCTAGTTCTGTTCTAGTTCTGTTCTAGTTCTGTTCTAGTTCTGTTCTAGTTCTGTTCTAGTTCTGTTCTAGTTCTGTTATAGTTCTGTTCTAGTTCAGTTCTAGTTCAGTTCTAGTTCAGTTCTAGTTCACTTCTAGTTCAGTTCTAGTTCTGTTATAGTTCTGTTCAAGTACTGTTCTAGTTCTGTTCTAGTTCTGTTCTAGTTCTGTTCTAGTTCTGTTCTAGTTCTGTTCTAGTTCTGTTCTAGTTCTGTTCTAGTTCTGTTCTAGTTCTGTTCTAGTTCTGTTCTAGTTCTGTTCTAGTTCTGTTCTAGTTCTGTTCTAGTTCTGTTCTAGTTCTGTTCTAGTTCTGTTCTAATTCTGTTCTAATTCTGTTCTAGTTCTGTTCTAGTTCTGTTCTGTTCTAGTTCTGTTCTAGTTCTGTTCTAGTTCTGTTCTAGTTCTGTTCTAGTTCTGTTCTCGTTCTGTTCTCGTTCTGTTCTAGTTCTGTTTTAGTTCTGTTCTAGTTCTTTTTAGTTCTGTTCTAGTTCTGTTCTAGTTCTGTTCTAGTTCTCTTCTAGTTCTGGTCTAGTTCTGTTCTAGGTCTGTTCTAGTTCTAGTTCTGTTCTAGTTCTGTTCTAGTTCTGTTCTAGTTCTGTTCTAGTTCTGTTCTAGTTCTGTTCTAGTTCTGTTCTAGTTCTGTTCTAGTTCTGTTCTAGTTCTGTTATAGTTCTGTTTGAGTTCTGTTCTTGTTCTGTTCTAGTTCTGTTCTAGTTCTGTTCTAGTTCTGTTCTAGTTCTGTTCTAGTTCTGTTCTAGTTCTGTTCTAGTTCTGTTCTAGTTCTGTTCTAGTTCTGTTCTAGTTCTGTTCTAGTTCTGTTCTAGTTCTGTTCTAGTTCTGTTCTAGTTCTGTTCTAGTTCTGTTCTAGTTCTGTTCTAGTTCTGTTCTAGTTCTGTTCTAGTTCTGTTCTAGTTCTGTTCTAGTTCTGTTCTAGTTCTGTTCTAGTTCTGTTCTAGTTCTGTTCTAGTTCTGTTCTAGTTCTGTTCTAGTTCTGTTCTAGTTCTGTTCTAGTTCTGTTCTAGGTCTGTTCTAGTTCTGTTCTAGTTCTGTTCTAGTTCTGTTCTAGTTCTGTTCTAGTTCTGTTCTAGTTCTGTTCTAGTTCTGTTCTAGTTCTGTTCTAGTTCTGTTCTAGTTCTGTTCTAGTTCTGTTCTAGTTCTGTTCTCGTTCTGTTCTCGTTCTGTTCTAGTTCTGTTTTAGTTCTGTTCTAGTTCTTTTTTAGTTCTGTTCTAGTTCTGTTCTAGTTCCCTTCTAGTTCTGGTCTAGTTCTGTTCTAGGTCTGTTCTAGTTCTGCTGTAGTTCTGTTCTAGTTCTGTTCTAGCTCTACTGCTTTAATTCTTCAGTTTTGAAGTCTATTTAGAGTACTTACTCATTTGGTAAACAGAATCTTTTTCATAAATATAGTGAACATAAGCCCAGCTTACTGTGCACATTATAATAATCACATTATAGAAAAACAAAAGCAGCATGGGCCACGCAAAATATTGTTCCAGTTTATAGATCAAAAACCAGATTTTCATTAAGGCCCCTTGATTTAGCCTCAAAGTTTTGCAAAAATACCACTCTAAAGGTTTTTTCCATCCCACTGCATTTTCCACTTTTCCCTTAATGCTCCTCAAACTTTTCAACAACATCAATAAATATTCATATAACAACTGTACATAAATTCCATATTCCAGGAATTTCATTTGTACAGTCATTAAGAAAATAACAGCTAGTAATTTATCTCTTAGTTCCATGTTTGAGGCGAGCAGCATGATATTGAAATATATTAAAAAGGACACCGAAAAAAATAAACCTGGAGCGGTAGTTAGTAATAGACGTTTTTTAAGCACTTGATCGTCAAACATGATCGGACATATTGTAAGCATAATCTGTTCCAATTTCTTAATACTTAACAAAATATCCCATAGCTTACGATGACAACAGCAACTTTTATATACAAATAATAACTGCAAACCGGCCATGGCAACGTTTTGTATATAGGTAACTAATTCGGTCATAAAGTCCAAATGATGCCGAAGAGTAGCTTTTCTAACTATTATGTTGTGCACATAAGCGGCCCATATAGCACCCCCAAGGAGTATAAGACAATAGAGGATATAAATTATTAAGACGAAGTAATATTTAACATCTTTTTGTGGACGATATATTAAAAATGGTGGTAAATTGAAACCAAATACAGAAAATATCCATTGATATATTTTCAATTCTTTAAGCAAAATACTGTCGTTTAAACTTCCGTCCATAGAACACAGTGGATGAAGAGGATATTGAGAAACTAACTAATTGTTTGATATGCCAACTACTCCACAATTATTTGTTAATAATTGTTAACAAAATATTGAGATTATTATCGGTTTTGATAAAATGGAAACTAATTAGTTAATTACTCACTGCGTATGAGTAATATGTATTACTCATTTGGTTTGTTGATTAGTTCTGTTCTAAGTTTTGTTCTAGCTACTATGTTCTATTTCTGTACTGCATAAGTTGTACATAGATCACTTACTAATTTGATAAACAGGATTTGTTTCATATATATAGCGAACATATGCCCAACTCACTGTGCACAATATGATAATGCCATTATAGAGAAACAATAGCAATATCGGCCATGCAAAATATTGTTCCAGTTTATAGACCAATAACCAAATTTCTATTAAGCTAGCTTGATTTTGCTTTAAAGTTTTCCAAAAATACCATTCCAAAGGTTTTTTCCTTGCTGTTGTATTAGTGACTTTTTCTTTGAGGCATCTCAAGCTTTTCAACAACATTGACAAATATTCATAAATTAATTGTACATAACTTCCAAATTCTAGAAATTTAATTTGTATAGTCATCAAGAAAATAACAGCTAGTAATTTATTCTTCAATTCAAGATCTCCGCCTAAAAGCATGCTATTGAAATATATTAAGAATGACACCGAAAGAAATAAACCTGGAGCGGTGGTCATCATCAGGCGTCTTTTTAAAGCTTGTTCCTTAAGAATGGCCGGGCACATTGTCAACATTTTCAGTTCCAATTTTCTAATACTTAGCAAAATTTCGCAAAGCTTGTGACAACAACAGCAACTTTTAAATTCAAATAATAACTGCAGACCAGCCATGGCGACGTTTTGTATATAGGTAACGTATTCGGTCATAACGTCCAAATTATATCGAAGAGCGGCTTTTTTGACAATATAATTATGCCTGTGAGCAGCCCATATAGCAGCCGCTAGGAGTATAAGAGAATACATGATGTATGTTATTAAGACAAAGTAATATTTAACTCCCTTATGTGAACGATATATTAAAAATGGTGGTAAATTCAAACCAAACACCGAAAATATGCATTGATAAATTCTCAATTCTTTCAGCAAAATACTATCATCTAAACTTCCGTCCATGGGAGGTGCTAGTTTATAAAGAAGTCTAGAAACTTACTATTCAGTTATAATTGCAGTCAACAATTATTTGTGACTACATGTTAGCAAAAGATTTTGAATTTGATAAAGGACAGCAAATTAATTGATTAATTAATTTGTGATCAATATTAATTAGCTAAAAGTTGCTTAGTTCTGTTCTAGTTCTAGTTCTGTTCTAGTTCTGTTCTAGTTCTGTTCTAGTTCTAGTTCTGTTCTAGTTCTGTTCTAGTTTTGTTCTAGTTTTGTTCTAGTTCTGATCTAGTTCTGTTCTAGTTCTGTTCTAGTTTTGTTCTAGTTTTGTTCTAGTTCTGGTCTAGTTCTGTTTTAGTTCTGTTCTAGTTCTGTTCTAGTTCTGTTCTAGTTCTATTCTAGTTCTGTTCTAGTTCTGTTGTAGTTCTGTTCTAGTTATGTTCTAGTTCTGTTCCAGTTTGTTTCTAGTTTTGTTCTAGTTCTGTTCTAGTTTTGTTCCAGTTTTGTTCTAGTTCTGTTCTAGTTCAGTTCTAGTTCTGTTCTAGTTCTGTCCTAGTTCTGTGCTAGTTCTGTGCTAGTTCTGTTCTAGTTCTTTTCTAGTTCTGTTTTTGTTTTAGTTCTATTCTAGTTCTGTTCTGGTTCTGATCTAGTTATGTTCTGTTCTAGTTCTGTGTTATGTTCTTGTTCTACTGTTGTTCTCTTTTAGTTCTGCTCTGCTCTAGTTTTAATCTGTTCTCGTTCTGTTCTAGCTCTGTTATGGTTCTGTTCTAGTTCTGTTCCAGTTCTGTTCTAGTTTTGTTCTAGTTCTGTTCTAGTTCGGTTCTAGTTCTGTTCTAGTTCTAGTTCTGTTCTAGTTCTGTTCTAGTCTGTTCTAGTTCTGTTCTAGTTCTGTTCTAGTTCTGTTCTAGTTCTGTTCTAGTTCTGTTCTAGTTCTGTTCTAGTTCTGTTCGAGTTCTGTTCGAGTTCTGTTCTAGTTCTGTTCTAGTTCTGTTCTAGTTCTAGTTCTGTTCTAGTTCTGTTCTAGTTCTGTTCTAGTTCTGTTCTAGTTCTGTTCTAGTTCTCTTCTAGTTCTCTTCTAGTTCTGTTCTAGTTCTGTTATAGTTCTGTTCTAGTTCTGTTCTAGTTCTGTTCTAGTTCTGTTCTAGTTCTGTTCTAGTTCTGTTCTAGTTCTGTTCTAGTTCTGTTCTAGTTCTGTTCTAGTTCTGTTCTAGTTCTGTTCTAGTTCTTTTCTAGTTCTGTTCTATTTCTGTTCTAGTTCTGTTCTAGTTCTGTTCTAGTTCTGTTCTAGTTCTGTTCTAGTTCTGTTCTAGTTCTGTTCTAGTTCTGTTCTAGTTCTGTTCTAGTTCTGTTCTAGCTCTGTTCTAGTTCTGTTTTAGTTCTGTTCTAGTTCTGTTCTAGTTCTATTCTAGTTCTGTTCTAGTTCTGTTCTAGTTGTGTCCTAGTTCTGTTCTAGTTCTGTTCTAGTTTTGTTCTAGTTCTGTTCTAGTTCTGTTCTAGTTCTGTTCTAGTTCTGTTCTAGTTCTGTTCTAGTTCTGTTCTATTTCTAGTTCTGTTCTAGTTCTGTTCTAGTTCTGTTCTAGTTCTGTTCTAGTTCTGTTCTAGTTCTGTTCTAGTTCTGTTCTAGTTCTGTTCTAGTTCTGTTCTAGTTCTGTTCTAGTTCTGTCTAGTTCTAGTTCTAGTTCTGTTCTAGTTCTGTTCTAGTTCTGTTCTAGTTCTGTTCTAGTTCTGTTCTAGTTCTGTTCTAGTTCTGTTCTAGTTCTGTTCTAGTTCTGTTCTAGTTCTGTTCTAGTTCTGTTCTAGTTCTGTTCTAGTTCTGTTCTAGTTCTGTTCTAGTTCTGTTCTAGTTCTGTTCTAGTTCTGTTCTAGTTCTGTTCTAGTTCTGTTCTAGTTCTGTTCTAGTTCTGTTCTAGTTCTGTTCTAGTTCTGTTCTAGTTCTGTTCTAGTTCTGTTCTAGTTCTGTTCTAGTTCTGTTCTAGTTCTGTTCTAGTTCTGTTCTAGTTCTGTTCTAGTTCTGTTCTAGTTCTGTTCTAGTTCTGTTCTAGTTCTGTTCTAGTTCTGTTCTAGTCTGTTCTAGTTCTGTTCTAGTTCTGTTCTAGTTCTGTTCTAGTTCAGTTCTAGTTCAGTTCTAGTTCAGTTCTAGTTCAGTTCTAGTTCAGTTCTAGTTCTGTTCTAGTTCTGTTCTAGTTCTGTTCTAGTTCTGTTCTAGTTCTGTTCTAGTTCTGTTCGAGTTCTGTTCTAGTTCTGTTCTAGTTCTGTTCTAGTTCTGTTCTAGTTCTGTTCTAGTTCTATTCTAGTTCTGTTCTAGTTCTGTTCTGTTCTAGTTTTGTTCTAGTTCTGTTCTAGTTCTGTTCTAGTTCTGTTCTAGTTCTGTTCTAGTTCTGTTCTAGTTCTGTTCTAGTTCTGTTCTAGTTCTGTTCTAGTTCTGTTCTAGTTCTGTTCTAGTTCTAGTTCTGTTCTAGTTCTGTTCTAGTTCTGTTCTAGTTCTAGTTCAGTTCTAATTCAGTTCTAGCTCAGTTCTAGTTCAGTTCTAGTTCTGTTCTAGTTCTGTTCTAGTTCTGTTCTGTTCTAGTTTTGTTCTAGTTCTGTTCTAGTTTTGTTCTAGTTCTGTTCTAGTTCTGTTCTAGTTATGTTCTAGTTCTGTTCTAGTTCTGTTCTAGTTCTGTTCTAGTTCTGTTCTAGTTCCGTTCTAGTTCTTTTCTAGTTCTGTTCTAGTTGTGTTCTAGTTCTGTTCTAGTTCTATTCTAGTTCTGTTCTAGTTCTGTTCTAGTTCTGTTCTAGTTCTGTTCTAGTTCTGTTCTAGTTCTGTTCTAGTTCTGTTCCAGTTCTGTTCTAGTTCTATTCTAGTTCTTTTCTTGTTGTTTTCTAGTTCTGTTCAAGTTCTGCCCTAGTTCTATACTGTCCTAGTTCTGTTATAGTTCTGTTTTAGTTTTGCTCTAGTTCAGTTCTAATCCAGTTATACTGCATTTCTAGTTTAGTTCTTTTGTTTTTTATTGTGTACATGTTTAATACAATTTTATTTTATTTATTTTTTTTAATTTTATATTGATCTTATTTAATTAATTAATAACGAAATATTTTCTGCTTTCAATTGCAGAAAAGTAAAGAGCACTTTTTCAAATTTTAACATTTTAATTGAATTGATGTATACAATTACCAGCAACATTCTTGTAAAACCACATTTGCATATATAGTAAAACTACTCCCTCAAATATACAATATTTAATGTTATTACCTTTTGAATTTTTTTAATTAACTCAAAAAACTTAACAAGATAAAAAGTAAAACAAAACGAAACTTTAATAAAAATAAACATAAATGTTAAGTAGTTTATTTAAAACTACACTTTAAAAAGAGAGAAACAAAAAATCAGTGTAAGCATAAATGTGGGAAATGTCAGTCAAGTTTAAACTTATTAACCCACTACATCCAACATAATACTTCTGTCATTTATTAACTGTTGCACTTTTCTCTTTTTGATGTAATGAAATTAATACAAAAATACAGAAAAGTAAAAAAATAATGGAATAATGTATTTTTTTTTAATTACATAATATTTAAGTGGTTTGTTGCAAGAAGAATACAAAGGCAACAATATCGTACAAACAAAATGTTGCATGAGTAGGTAAAATTAATTAACATGACTTTTATTTTATTGATGTTTTACGTAGAATACGCGAAAGAATACTGACTGCTCTGCATTTGGTTTTAATATTTGTACAAATTGCTTGAATTGCCCTATTTATTTCATACCCCAAAAATATGCTATATATTTTTGTTTAATTTTGTTTATGCTAATCTGCTATAAATATTTTTAGTTTCAAATTATGCTTCTTTGTTTAGATTCAATAACAATTTAATCTAAAATATTTGTTAATGTTGAATATTTTAATATTGTACAAACTAATATTTCCACGTAATATTATGTTTGTAACCTAATTTAATTGTATTATGAATATTAATATGTATAGCTTATGAATTTATCAGCAATTAAGTGTAGAAATAATGAATAAAACATGTTTTTTTATTCTTTATCACTCCATATTTCTGCAGGGTACATTGGTTTGTCGTTCTGTTTGTAACTATAGACTATAGATTCTAGACTAGTCTAGAGAGATCACACTTCTCTTGTTTTAGCCCAAACCCATAGTTTCCAAGAAAAATGGAATCCATTTTTGGTGGGAAATAAAAGTGATCACAGATTTAACTTGTTTTTGTCCTATCTCTTATAATTACTGAGATAAATTGACTTTTATGTTTTCACTCAAAAAATCCATTTTTGGTGGGAAATAAAAGTGATCACAGATTTCACTTTGTCCTATCTCTTATAGTTACTGAGAAAAATGGACTTTTATGTTTTCACCAAAAAAAAAACATTTTTGGTGGGAAATAAAAGTGATCACAGATTTCACTTGTTTTTGTCTTATGTCTTATAGTATCCAAGATAAAAGGACTTTTATGTTTTCACTCAAAAAATCCATTTTTGGTGGGAAATAAAAGTGATCACAGATTTCACTTGTTTTTGTCCTATCTCTTATAGTTACTGAGATAAATGGACTTTTATGTTTTCACCAAAAAAAAAACATTTTTGGTGGGAAATAAAAGTGATCACAGATTTCACTTGTTTTTGTCTTGTGTCTTATAGTATCCAAGATAAAAGGACTTTTATGTTTTCACTCAAAAAATCCATTTTTGGTGGGAAATAAAAGTGATCACAGATTTCACTTGTTTTTGTCCTATCTCTTATAGTTACTGAGATAAATGGACTTTTATGTTTTCACTCAAAAAATCCATTTTTGGTGAGAAATAAAAGTGATCACAGATTTCACTTGTTTTTGTCCTATCTCTTATAGTTACTGAGAAAAATGGACTTTTTTGTTTTCACTCAAAAAATTCATTTTTGGTGAGAAATAAAAGTGATCACAGATTTCACTTGTTTTTGTCCTATCTCTTATAGTTTCCAAGAAAAATGGACTTTTATGTTTTCACTTAAAAAATCCATTTTTGGTGGGAAA